TAATCGATATTAACGGTTTGTGATAAAAATTGGTAACACTTCAAATCAACGTTTCGAGAATAATATTTTCCTCGAAGTTGTGAAGGTTGATCACCTTGAAATCCTGTGTCGTCGCTCGTTCCTGAAAATGTTAAGAATTCGTGCGATATATGGGAGGTCATATGTAAGAGTACAGATCCACTGTGCTCGACGTAGTGAAAAGTATGTAGTCGCTAGTTACTGTCGCCTCTAAATTTCTAAAGAAAAAAAATTCACTCGACGAAAGAAAATTATAGGCAACTTTCTTTTTCAATCACACCATTTCTATTCACAACAGTAATACCATCATACCATTCGTAGGTATGCGTTTCAAACTCTTGTAAACAGCTCTGCAGGCAAAACAGATCGATCAAACTCTTTTTGTTCGGGTGCAAACTTGGAGATTTACTTCAACGGACAATACTATCGCGATCTGTTGAAGATATCTGCTTTTTCTGTGAAACGTTCAGACGTTCAGAGAATGCTTCGCGTTTCCGTCCGTCTGAGGAACACTTCACGTATTCAACGCGTTGGTAAAGAACGTGTTCTGGGTATCGATCCAGTAAGTCGATCTTCACGAGATTTTCTCGGAGTCCCAGGGGAACTTGCTCAGCCACAACTTCATAAATGTACGACTACGCGTACTCTTCTTACTCAGGTTACTTTGCTCTATGTACCCCTCACGCACCTGCCTATACTTTTAGAGTATGAGTCATTATATGGTGTGCTTTTGAAGTTGTTTTCTGAATTGAAAAAAAATACAGAGAAAGGATAATGTGTCAAGAAACTAAAGGAAGCCGAGCAAACGTTAAAAGTAACTTACAGTGAATTGAAAAAACTTCTAACACGATGGTACAGAAGATCAGAATTTAAAGACTTATGAGATATACGGAAATCTGTCTAAACAGTTGGAAGTGTATAGCGGATGTGTAAGTGGAAATTCGAAAAGTGAATGAGATAATAAAATGAAAGTGATGCTCTAGACCATACAATTCAGTACGTAGCCATACGCGTATAGTCCCAATCTCCAGTTGAAAAAACAGTACACCGATAACAAGATGTCGGCAAACGGGACGTGGGAATCTGAAGACCAGGGGATACGAAACTCTTAGCAAGTCGGTTTCAATAATGGACAGGAATGACAATTAAAAAGTTGCGGAGGTTGATACGAAGCGAACGAAAATAGTATCGAAATGATTACGACAGGAGGAAACATGGATGACACAAGGGATAAGGGCATGAAGCTGCGCGAGACAGAAAAGGAAACAACCAAACGAAATATTAGGTCCAATTTAAATTTAAATATTTCTTTTTTCATCAATTATAAATTGAGTTATTATTAGTCACTTGCTATTGTAAATACATTTTCACACTGCAAAACGTTTCGAATACACACACGCTCGGTTCGACATTCTTATGTCCAGTGTATAAGACACGACGTGCTGTGGCGGCGGGCGGCAACAAAAGCAGCGAGCCAACTTCGGTCATTTCACGGTCCGCGGGCTGCGCCGCCGCCGCTGTCCAATAAACGCAGGCGGACTAGCGACGAGGCGCGACTAGCGACGCGCAGGCGGACTAGCGACGCAGCGGACTAGCGACGCAGGCGGACTAGCGACGCCAGGCGGACCTAGCGACGCAGGCGGACTAGCGACAGCAAGGCGACTAGCGACGCAGGCGGACTAGCGACGCAGGCGGAACTGCGACGCAGGCGGACGTAGCAACTATCAACGCGCGCAATCTGCGTGCGCCAGCGGCCCGCACTGCGCCTGCGTACGAGGGTTCATCGGCCCCAGGCAGGACACATGTTTGAGGTGCAATGGGTTGAGACGGTGAGGGCGAGAGGACGTTGCCTTACTATTGCCATTCAAAGGCAAGAGGAAATTCAAGTTCATTCTAAACTGTTGCTGCTGTGCAAGCAAGTCGAAAACTGTCATACGAGTCAGATTTTCGAAGTGAGATTATCGAACAATTTTCATTTATTATGTGGAAGTGTTGGCTTATGTCATTAACCCTTCCAAAAGTTAGTATTTT